TATTATTTTCTAAAGTCGAATCTCTGTTGTTTCTGTTGCTTTTAGTTTCGTTTTCTTTCCAATCTTTAAATTTCACACGTGGAAGGTAATTTATGATAAGTTGATATGCAGTCGCTTTTTTGTGATATGTAACTCTTTTAACTTCTCATCAAATTAGGTATATTGACATGGCCGAGTCCTTGTGCCAAAAGCGTGCATTAGAAGCTTTTCAATTAGATCCAGAGAAATGGGGAGGTAAATGGTTGTCTCTTCTGGTTTATATTGGCCCTATTTGATTTCTCATTTGCATGTTTGATGTGGTCTTTTTACTCAGTTAATCCGGTTTTAGTCATGCAGCTGATGCTATAATTAGATTAGTTGTTTTATTGTTTGGTTCCAGATTTCTTTAGTTGTAGTTGACTGTCATATATTAGAAGGAGACATAAGATCATTATTTCATGTTTAGCTTTAATTGATAGAGATAAAGAGTAGCTTTACCTTTGGCCTATACTGACTTAATTGTCAGAATTATTGGCCTTTTTATTTTTAAAAGATATATTATTTTCCTTTTCTTACTGTTCTCTTATATCTTATAGTCTTGAGAGTGATTTCTTCCCTATGCTATTAGTGATTGTAAACTTCTGGACAGTGCTCATGGATAGTCATTGTAGCTAAAGTCACAGTTTAAGGGAAAGTTTTATTTAGTTTCATTTGCCAGTTAATTAATTATCTGCCAGAGGCAGTTTGGTTGGTACAAAAGAGATGATGACAGATTTACATTGCTGTAGAAGGGGCTGAACATTCTGAATTCATCAGTTCATGTTTAATGCTTAATTGCAATGTTCTCAGTAATCTGTTTATTTCTTTAAGAATGCAATGCAATGTGCATAGCTAACTTCCTAACTTTTGGGAATTCATACCTTTCTTTTTTGCAGTCAACGTGCAGTCACTCTCAGGATCCCCTGCCAACTTCCAAGCTTATACTGCACTGTTGAAACCTCATGAAAGAATCATGGCGCTTGATCTACCTCATGGTGGGCATCTT